ACCCGAAGTTGCTTTTTCAATATTAAGATTTTTTAAATTGGTTTCCATTTTAGTCCCACGAGTACCGCGGTTAAGCGTTTTCACCTGGTGCATTGCCGCGATTGCCCAGGGCTTGGCTTGTCTCGGGTGGGTTACACCCAAGACTACTCTCAGAGGTCGCCCAGGTTTCTGAGAGTCACCGTTAGCGACACAGCTCCCCCTGTGCCACGTATCCTTAGGCACGGTATGGCCGAGGCCATGCCTTACGCCGCTCACACACATGGATTGGGTGGACTCCTCTTAGCGACCGCGGGCAGCGGTAGTCCTTAAGACCTCCACCGCCCGCGACCGAGCCCCCTCACTACGACAAAGTGGGAACCCAGTAGAGGGGGTTCTGAGGAATAAATTTCGAAGATTTTTTATTTATGAAAATTGTGAGAATTTCTTGATTGTTCAATCGAAGTGAAAATATCGATCCAAAATACCAAAGAAGTTGAGAATCCTTTCCTGATAGGAGTAAACTCTGTTAAAAGACATTTACTTATCCTTTTTCTCGTGATCCTGCTCCCAACGCCATAACGCTGAAGGTTCGATTTAAGGTCACGCCAGTAGCGTTCGATATTCTGCGTGTGCCAGGTTTTATTGTATGAATTGACGAGTTGGTAGCGGCGGTTTACCATTCGATGAATGTACCCTTTCTGAGTAAGCCCGCGACAATTTTTCCAACCGTCGGAAATAACAATGGTACCTTTCTTAAAATATTTATTTATGTAATAATGTAGAGTAATTTTCATACGATCTAATACTGGCACCGTCACGACTTGATGTGTCGTCCGATCAAAAATACCGAAAAGCCACTGCCCCTTACTCTCTCAGCCTCGGTTATACTTCCTCCCCCCTATCTTCGTTTCGTCTACTTAACTAATCCCCTCCTCCCTAGTCCCTCACCGTCTCTCTCCTCAGTCCAAAGACTCAATACTGTGTTTACTTTATTTATCAAATTTCTGATACACTTCACACCAACACCGTGTTCCTCGCTGAGGGTTTCTAAAGTGATTTTATCATTAATGATATATTGTGATATTATTTTCACGACTCTTTTAATTTTTATTTTACAATTTGCAAATATTGTTTTGTTGAATATACTACTTTGACTATTACATTTTGCCCTTATTTTCTTTTTGTGATAATCTATAATGTAATGAGATTTTTTACATTTAAATACGGTACTTCCTGGTGCACGTGTCATCAGTGCACCACACCTTTTACAATAGGTATAGGACCTGACGGCTCCGTGCTGAGTCAAGAACCGTAAAATTCTCTCCCTATCCAGGCTCATAATTATAATGTCCTCGTATCTCATCTTTATTCTTTGGAATTTAATTTATTTCAAATGTGAGCGACTGAAATTGTGACTTGATTCTAGTTTGTTATAAAATTGACAAGAGTTTCATGTATATCATGATTAAATTTAAATTGAGTCACATGTTGTTCCTGATTACCGAAATTTATCATTCCTCACGAAAGTATTCATTATTTATTATTCCCTACGACCATTTTATCTGAATTTTCAAAAAATTGAAAAATTTCCTATAAAAAAAATGAAATAATCTGTCTCGGAAAATTAGCTTCAGATGACTCAGAATCATCTAAAAAGTAGAGATTTCATATTCTCCCGGGATTGTTTCTATACAACCTTTTGGCCCAATTTTTTAAAAAATTAAGAAAAAATCCCGGTAAAAAAAAGGAGAAAAATTGTCTCAAAAATTTGGGATCAGATGTCTCAGAATCATCCAAAACGTGGAGATTTCATATTTCCTGAGAAAGGGTTTATATGACCTTTTGGCCCCAATTTTCAATAATTTTTTTAAGGATAATCGGCCGAGGAGGAAATGTAGGAGGTAAGGCGGAGGCATTTCTATTGTTTTCCTGCAGAAAATCAATCGCTGAACAAAAAATTTTTTCCCATTCGGATTCAAAATTCAGGCAATATTAGGCAGTATCTCCGGTTAAAAATTATTTTTGGAGGTAATCAAATTTTGTTGTATCTGTTCCACGCATTGAATGGTTTTCAGATTGTTTTTTTTTTAATAAATGAAAAAATATTAATCCATGCGAAAAAGTGGCAACATCGTCGGTAGTTTTTTTCTTTTTTCACCAGGAGCTAGTACCATGGGCTCGAGGGAGCTCCAATCATAACGCTTCATCGCTCTCTTTCAAGAAACGTTTAAATTGAGCGCGCTACCCCCACCCGATCGGTACTTGAGACGTTGCTGCTCGTTTGGGCTGCGTGCGCAGAAATTTCATTTTTCAGTACTTTTTTCGCTATTATTAATAAACTCCTTATTAAATGCTCCGAGGCGACAATATTTTTCACTCGAAAAATCATTGATCACATGTGCTAAATGTGTCTAAAGTTTAATGACTTTGGCTGCATTTTTTCCTTGGATTTTGCAGTTTTTTTGTGATTTCCATAAGATCACGGGTTAAATGACCATTTTATCAAAAATTAATAATAAATTAACCATGTTCCCCAGCAGTCTGAAACTTTGCACACGCCTTTTCCATCATTTAAGGATATTATGGCGATGTGGGCATGTAGGGGATCGGACCCAGGGGATTCTATTGTTCTTTTGCAGAAAACCAATCCCTAAGCAAAAAAAAAATAATTTTTCGAATAAATAATTCGGCCACATTAGCGGACCTCTGAGGTCGCAAATATTTTTAAATCATTTCTAAATTTTTTCTTTACATTTTCTGTCTGAGATTATTGTTTCCAATTTTTTTAAATATTTATTGAGAATGCTTTATATGGTCGGACATCATGGCAACGTCGGCCAGAGAATTAATTTTGTCGACAAGAGTTGGTAGCACTGATGTACATCCATCTTTTTTCACACACGAGTCAACACCGAGACGATAATTTTTTAACCCGATCCAATAATCTTCGAATAGTCTCAATTCAATATCGAATATCAATTTGATGCTCAAGTTAAAAAACATCGTGCTAGTACGTGTGCCTCGAACTCCCTCGTACATCCCCGGTCAAGTTTCTCTCAATCGTGTTTTCAAATTTGACTGATCTGTGGAAGTGTCCATCCAGTTGTTTATAACCTCAGACTAGAATCATACTCAAAACGATGTACCGCTGGAAAGGAAAAATTGTACCATCCAAGCAATACCAAGCCAGGTTAATTCACCAGGAAAGTGGATTTAAGAAACGAAAGGATATTTCATCAGAAGAATCTTCGAACATTCCCTCTGCAACAGGAAACGAGAGTGATACGAGTGAGAAATGGGATTGGTACCCTATGTATACTTCCTCATCTACAAATTCACCACATGAAAATGATGAAACCCAGTCTTCTGGGCATGGCGCTAGATCAGATCTTGTTCAGAGTTTAAAAATCGTTCCTGGCGAAGGTCGACGGATTGTTGAACTTCAATTATTGGGTGAACAAATGTGGTGCACAGTCTGCAAAGAATGCTTATCCTTGAAATACATTACGGACGAAGTACGTTTTGGGGTGTGTTCAAACCTTACGATCATGTGTCACAACTGTCTGTTGAAAAAACGGGTATGGACAAGCAAAAGTCATACTTTTGGTAATTCTGAAGGGACACGTTATGATGTCAACACCAAGAGTGTTCTAGGTAGGAAATTATTTGTAGAATCCCTTAGAATTATTCAAATAATTATTTTCATTCACTGATGTTTTGCAATTTTTTTTAGGTGCTTTGCACAGCGGTTTCAGGTGGACACACGTCAACAAATTTCTGTCGTGCATGAACGTGCCGTGTTATGATTTTAAAACTTATAAAAGATATTAAACCGAAGTTGGTCTAGTAGCTGAACGAGTGGCAAAAATTAGCTGTGAAGGTGCAACACAACTGGAGAAGGAGATGACAATAGAGGCAGCGACTACCATTCAGGCATCATTGTAAATGTTTTCTTAAAATTCCCCTCAGCTCAGACACCATTTTTGCATAAAATTATTCGTATAAAATCATTTAGAAATTCATTGAAGTGTTCCCAGCGATCCCTGATCAACCAGTAGCTATTTCTAGTTCTTTCTAGGATATCCATATAATTATTCCCCCTCTGTAGTTCGGATCATGATTGATTTGATTAATCTTAGCAGCTTTGAAAGTTATTCATTGTGGATATCGAATGAGACGTTTTTTAATGACTTATTCGTACAATAATATCCTGAATTATTAATTATGCAATCAAATTATTTAGAAAACAATGATTCTACATTCTTTATTCGTTATTTTACATGCTGTAAGTCTTTCTTGAAACCTCCAATTCGTTCAATCCAATCTTCAGAGTCTTTCTGTGGAGATTTTTGAAAATTTTTTAATATAGGATAAGATGATTTTTTTTAGTATTCATCATAGTCACCTTAGATTTTTTTTTTTTACGATCCTGACGGTGTTTTCAGGCATTACTGCGCTTGCTAATGGAAGTTCCATTAATTCATCCAGATTTATCATAACACTACTCATTATTTATAACAATTACTTCGAGTGATATTTTTTTGAATTTTTAGAAATAGTATTTTTTTGTATTTCTGAAGCTTATATTTTCTTTTAATTTAAAATTTTTTGTATTTTTTTTTTTAATAAATGGAAAAATTGATCGAAATGTATTTCTTTCATTGATGTTCGGATACTTAATTGGTTCGCCTAGGCCCGAAGGATACAAAGAAGGATTTTTAATCAAGAAGATCTCTCGCACTTCAACTGATGGTAGTCACGAATCACAACCAGAGTCTCCTTACGCACACATATTTTCAGACGATATTATTCGATTGATGATTTCCTACGACATGGCCTGGAGCACACGAGGATCGGGCCGAAGCTATGATAGCTTGAATGGATTTGGAGTAATTATGGGACAATGCTCGGGGAAAATTCTAGACTATGGGGCGTGTAATAGGCAATGTGCCACATGTGGTGATGAAGAGGGCCATGGTGAGCACCATTGCCGTTTAAATTTTTATGGCTCAGCCAAAGCTATGAAACCACACGTGGGAAAGAAACTCGTAGTAGAGAGTGAAATTTTAAAAGCTCAAAACACGGAGGTTGGAATCCTCGTTGGCGACGACGATAGCTCGACAATTGCAGCCTGTCGAAATGCGAGTGACCACCCAATCCTCAAGCGATCCGATAAAAATCATGCTTCGGGGGGGTTGAGGAAACAGCTATATGAAATGCAGAAGAAGATAAAAGAGTTGACCAAAGAGAGAATCACGTATTTACACAGGTGTTTTACTTTTGCTGTGTCTCAAAATCTAGGAAATGATGCTGAAATGGCTAACGCCATTCGAAGCATTCCACTACATGCTTGCAATGACCACACGGTTTGTGGAGCATGGTGTGGCTATCATGATGACCCTGAAAAATATGAACACTCTTCAGTACCTGGAGGATTCACTGATCCAAAGTTATCTGAAGAATTGAGAAGATTATTCAATAAATTGGCCGACAATGCAGGGAAGTTTGCGCTGGGGGCCTCAAGTAATCGAAATGAGAGCTTCCATGCTATGGTACCAACCAAAGCTCCTAAACAACGCTGCTACAGCAGGACTCCATTTTTTCAATTTCGTCTTGCTTGTTCTGTGGGACACAAGAACATGGGAACTACTTATACTCAGGAGATAACTGATAAAATTACGCTGTCACCTGGCAAATATCATTCACGACACATTGCCAAGTATGATAGAGCACATTTGAGAACAAGGAACATTATTAACACTCATCAGTTTAAACAACATAGAGCACAACAGAAGAAAATCCGAGCAGCTCTACGCTATCGAAAGAAGAATCAAGAAGGACTCACCTACGAGAGTAATTGTGGTCGACTCACTTAATCTGCCATTCCTCAATCCCCTGAAGAAAACAATGATGAGGATGACAACGAGGATGAGATTCCTGTGGTTCTTTTCGACTTGGAGACGTCCAGCTTACGAAAGAATTGTGACATCCTGCAGATTGCAGCCAAATGTGATAAAAAAGAATTTAGTGCTTACATCAATCCGAGGCAACAGATTGATCCACAAGCGACTGCAGTCTACGGTTTAATCAACAGTAATGGGAAGCTTCTCTTACATGGCAAGCAAATCGACTCATCACCAATCGAAGAGGTTTTACTTGACTTTATTGAATGGGTAGAGAGTATTAGGAAGAAATGTTGCCTGGGGGCTCACAATCTGCGGTTTGATAGATCCAGATTAATTCATGCTATTGTAAAATATCATTTCGATGAAATATTTGCTTCGTTAATATACGGATTTGTTGATACAAGTGATCAGAAAAATTTCAAGTAGTATAGGTCCAGACCAATGTGCCTTGGGAACTCTAGCTGAGTCTCTCAACATCGTTGTTGTAGGTGCACATAACGCCATTTATGACTGCAGATTACTCGATAAAGCATGAAAGGGCTTTGACATCACTAATGATACTCTGTTGGAACAAGCCACCCTTTACACTGCACAAACGACTCACTGGCGCAATCGTGATAAGAACAAAGAAAATTCTATCCACAAACCGTTGTTAAGTGCAGCTGTTCTTAAAAAACTATCCAGTGCTTCGATAAGTATCAAGAATTTAAAGAATATTTATTTGAGTGGTGGCCCTGAAGCGATCAAAAAGTTTCTTGAGGAAAAAATTAATAATAAGGAAATCAAAATCCAAAGAAAAACTATTGCAAAGATTATTGAGTCTATGAAGGAAGTAAACTAGTCACGAAATTAATTTAATGAGAGTTTCTTCTTATGTTAATCACAAGACAATATTATAATGTTAATTTTGAGGTGATGTTTTTGTACTTATGATTGGTAAATGAAAAAATAAACAGATAAATTCTCCAATGTCAATCGTGCCATTTCATATAGCTATTCATCATCAATAAATTCCTCAATCCTGATGATTATGAAATTCAATTTCCAGTTGAATGACAAGCCTAACTCCATACTCCTATGCTTTCAAATTAACCGCGTTTACCCCTACCCCATCCGTTATTGCAGCGTTGTCGAGGTTCCAGGTTGCGCGCACACAAAATCTATATTTCGGAGGTTTTTTCAGGTTTTATTATTAACTATTTAGTAAACCAATATAAAAACTGTTGTAAAAATTTCTTCCATAAATACTCTATACGTGTGCAAAATTTCATTGAGTTCTTTCCTTTTTTTCATATCCTGATTTCATTTTTACTGAATTTCCATAAGAGTACGTGTTAAATTAGGTTTTTCCAAAAATTAATTACTCTCTATCCAGGCAGTGGAGCGATCTGAAATTGTGCACACGACTTTTATATGGTTATATTAAGCTACAAAAAAATTGAGAATAAATTCTTTGCTGTTTTCGAGGACCCCCTTACCCCACCATAATATCCTTAAAGAATACGTAAAAAATGTAAGAGAAAAATGGTTGCTTTTTTTCTAACCCTCCGGGCTCGCCCGATTATCCTTAAAGTCCTTGTAAAAATTGAAAATTTGGTTTCGGAAAGATAGGCTCAGATAACTCAGAATCATCGGAAAGGTGGAGATTTCATATACCTTGGGAGTGTTTGTATGTCCTTTTGGCACAAATTTTCGGGGAAATGAAAAAAAACTGTTTATACCACCTTTTGGCACAACTCACGCGACATAAGAGGTAAATTCCAAGTTTCAGAATTTAAGGGTCACAAGGGTCAAGGGGAGTTATAAGGGTCGAAATCTGAGAGTCGTAATGGTCAAAATACAAGGGTCTGAATATCATAGTCAAAATCGAAGGTACAAAATTTTAGGGTAGCAAGGGTCAAAATTTAAAGGTCATAAGAGTCAAACGATAATTGTCTGAATATAAGGACCAAATTTTAAAGTTTTAAATTTAAGAGACACACGGGTCAAATTCGAAAGGTCATGAGGATCAAAGTACAAAGGCCTGAATATAAGGGTCAAAATCAAAGGTTCAAAATTTAACGGTCACAAGGATCATAATCTAAGGGTCATAGGGGTCATAATACAAAAATCTGAATATAGGGGTTAAAATTTAAGGCTTTCAATTTAAGAGTCCCAGGGGTCAAAATTCAAGGATCTGAATATAGGGGTCAAAATTTAAGGTTTTCATTTTAAGGGTCACAAGGGCCAAAATACAGGGGTCTGAATATCAAAGTCAAAATCGAAGGTTCAAAATTTTAGGTTCGCAAGGATAATACTTTAAAGGGTAATAAGAATCAAACGACAATTGTCTGAATATAAGGGTCAAATTTTAAGGTTTCAAATTTAAGGGTCGCAAGGGTCAAATTCTAAGGGCCATGAGCGTCAAAGTACAAGGGCTTGAATATAACGGTCAAAATCCAAGGTTTCGATTGTAAGGATCACAAGGGTTCAAACCAAGCATCTGAATATAAGAGACAAAATCTAAGTTTCAGAATCTACGGGTCACAAGGCCCAAAATTTAAAGGTCACATGGTTCAAAATCTGGGGTTCATAGGGGTCAAAATACAAGGATCGGAATATAAGGGTCAAAATCTAAGGTTCAGAATTTAGGTTCAGAAGTAAGGTTCAGAAAGGTCACAAGGGTCAAAATCTGAGACTCATAATGGTCAAAATACAGGGGTCTGAATATCAATGTCAAAATCGAAGGTACAAAATTTTAGAATCGCAAGGGTGACAATTTAAGTGTCATAAAAGTCAAATGACAATTGTCTCAATATAAGGTTCACATTTTAAGGATCACAAGGGTCCAAATCTAAGGGTCATAAGGGTCAAAACATAAGCGTCTGAATATAATGGTCAAAAACTAAGGTTCAGAATTTAAGGATCACAAGGGTCAAAATCTCAGTCATAAGGGTGTAAATGCAAAGGTGTAAATATAAGTCATAAGGGTCAAAATACAAGAATTTGAATATAAGAGTCAAAATCTTAAAGTCAAAATATGAAGGTCTGAATATAAAATTCAAAATATAAGGGTCAAATTCTACAATTCAAAATATAAAGGTCAAAATATAAGTGTCACAATTTAAGAGTCACAAAGGTCAAACTCGAAGGGTCAAAATTAATGGCTTATTCAATTAGTAGCTGTCGTATCCTATACCAGGCAATGTATAAGCCACGACACATGGAGTACCTGTGGGTAGACTCACGCAAACCCATGTCCTCATGTACACAGACAATGAGGCGCGCCTAACTCATTCACTTACTTGCAATATGGCTTTTGCCTCGAAAACACATGTCGGGATAACAGATTTTGTAAAAAAACTGTGCCAAGAAAAAGTTTTGTTTGATTCCTATTGGGAAATCGAAGTTTTTGAAAAATACATAGAAATAAAAACGGAAGCCAAGTTAGGAATTTTGAATAAATGGTGATAATGCACATTCAGGTTTCTATAAGAAAAATAGTTCTGAATGGAATAAGTATTCTAAAAAAATTCTCCATGAAATAAAAAATCAGTAGGAGCAGGACCAACGTCCTTGGCGCGGATCAAAGGATGGAGGAATAGATTGATACAAACAGTGAATTGAAAAACTCCGCGCCAAGAACGTTGGTTCTGCTCCTACTGATTTTTTATTTCATGGAGAATTTTTTTAGAATACTTATTCCATTGAGAACTATTTTTCTTATAGAAACCTGAATGTGCATTATCACCATTTATTCAAAATTCCTAACTTGGCGTCTGTTTTTATTTCTATGTATTTTTCAAAAACTTCGATTTCCCAGTAGGAATCAAACAAAACTTTTTGTTGCCCCAGTTTTTTTTACAAAAACATTTGTTTTTGTGTTTTTAGGCAGATTTCATTATTTTTGCTTCCGAATGGCAGCTTTGTAATCATGCAAATTTATGTTTTTGATTTTTTTTTTTTATATGGACTTATTATGACCCCAAAAACTCCGAATATGCATTTGTCAGACCGTGCCCGTACGTGTGTATATGTGCGTGTGTATGTAACAAACGTTTTTTTCGATTGTGCGCTAGGGAAGCGATGGAATCGAATAATTTTTTTCCCTCAAATGTAGGTATTGGTGAGCCCTATGCACCACCATAAATTAAAATTTAATTCATTCATTCATTTTTAAAATTTTTGAATTTTTTTGTAAATCGGTTTTTTTACGATAACTTAAAAAAATAATGTTTCAAATTCATTGAATGACGGCTCAAAAAAATCGTTGGGGTCTCTCCTTGACCGAGTTCGGAGATGGAGGTGATAGCAATCATCGTCAGTTTAATTTTTCGAAAAATGAGAAGAAAGAAAAACAAATTTAAATCAGAGTACTGTAGATATCTCTAGATTTTCGCCCTCAAATGGATTCAATCATAGATTAAAATGTNTAAATCGGTTTTTTACGATAACTTAAAAAAATAATGTTTCAAATTCATTGAATGACGGCTCAAAAAAATCGTTGGGGTCTCTCCTTGACCGAGTTCGGAGATGGAGGTGATAGCAATCATCGTCAGTTTAATTTTTCGAAAAATGAGAAGAAAGAAAAACAAATTTAAATCAGAGTACTGTAGATATCTCTAGATTTTCGCCCTCAAATGGATTCAATCATAGATTAAAATGTTTGTTTCAACGTTACTAAGTCAGAGTTAAAAGATAATCACGATAGCTGTTTCGATAAATCTTATGTTTGGGATAATTTTTGGAAATTCGGAAAATTTTCATCAATTTTTTGGAAATTTCGGTTTTTGATGATTTTTCCCAGCANTGTTTGTTTCAACGTTACTAAGTCAGAGTTAAAAGATAATCACGATAGCTGTTTCGATAAATCTTATGTTTGGGATAATTTTTGGAAATTCGGAAAATTTCCATCAATTTTTTGGAAATTTCGGTTTTTCATGATTTTTCACAGCAACTCGTGCTAAATGCATCCAATTAGGTGTGAATAA